TTCCATGAAAATGTCAAAAATAATATCTATACAATTATTAAATATAATAATTTATATTTTAGTATAAACACATAAATAATTTTTAACCTATTATATTTCTACATAATAAAAATATTGGGTAAAAAAAAAACATGAAACTTGGTTTTGATCTGCGGCACAATGAGTACCTAGTGACCAGCACATAGGACATTGCGCCACACCAAACATTAGTAAAGTTTGTGAAAAACCTGTACATTATTATTTAGTACATTGTTACCATAATTTTCAAATTCATTCAATAGTAACTAATTCCCTTTTTTATATCTGTTTTATAAAGTAATACCTATTTATTGAACTATTTTATTTACACAATATGATTGATTAGGAATTATTTTTTACTAGAGTAACGGTCTACGGGATGGTTTTTGCATGAAAATGTCAAACTTTTGCAAACACATACTTTTATGGAAATATTTACCTATTGTCAAATTTTATGTTATATATTTTTACAGCAATTAAATTTATCAACTAGACTAGATAATTAAATAATACTTAATTACTGTATAAAATAATATTCAAAATTATTTTAACGAATTATTAATGATTAACATATACCTATAAAAAAATGAGAGAGGAAAATATATTAGGGAAAAGAAGATAAAAGTAAAACAAAAATGCTTCTTTGATGGGATTGGAACACGAACATGTATTTTATTGGAACTATTTCATCAATATCGGGGCTTTTGTATGAAAATGTCAGTCTGACTTTCGCCTACGTCATACTAAAGAAATATTTATTTTCACATTTTATACTGTTTAATAATAATAAAAAAAAGTTGCTTTTTAAAATTATGGCAGAAAAAAATGAAAATTAGAATAAAATAATAAAAAAACGACTTGAAAAAATGCGAGCTCTAGTGGGATTAGAACTTACAACTTCGAGACACTCGGGTCCCTACCCTAGTACATTACACCAAAGATATTGTTAAAACGAGAGCGAAATTAAAATACTTATTTTAAATGTTCTTTTTTTTACAATTTTAGCGATCTCGGTACGTCAGAACGCTGCACAAAGCAACATAGGTCCATCTAGCAACACGCCTCAGCGTGAACTAAGTTAGTGTGCGTTATTCTATAGCCTTCCCTGTCAATTGCAGTAGGAGTGACAGAAATGTCAATACTTTAAAGTTGCTTGAAAAAAATGACCATATGTGCCATATCACAAAATAAATTATATTAATTATTATAATAACATTATCAAAAATTGGGAATAACCAACTTTTATATCAACCTTTGATACATATTTGTACTCAATATCATTACTCTAATGTATCACATAATTGAGAAACGTGCCTTTCGCAATATTTTTAGATGCTACTTTGGAATTATTTTCTATCGAGTGAAGTTAATACAATCATGTTTCGGTTTCAACCACAAGATCAGAAATACGATCAAGTATAACCACAAATTTTTGGATTGCCATAGGTTTCCCGTGAATTAGTACAATCCTAGATCAATTTTATCGATTTGGCACTATTCAGCGTCTCCATGTTGTCCATGTCTCAATTCATCCATAGAGAAGACCCACAGAACACGAAAAAAAAGTTTCTGTGTTCTGTGCTCGTACCACAGCAAAGGGTACATTAAGTCTATTAATGGTTAAGATGATGTTAAAATACTAGATAGAACAGACAAAAATATAATCTTTTCTATAACATAGTTGTTTCTTTACTTTAACCTAAATCATAAAAACTTGTTTTACCCGTTATTAACGTAATTCAGTGCAATAACCTTCTCATGGATAATAATGCTATGGATAATTATTCTACTCATTGTGAATTATGACGTCAAAAGGGAAGGACGGCTTTGCTTAATCAAGTTTTTTAATTGCATCTATTTTTCTTTTTTACTTAATTGTAGTTAATTGGCTAGAAAAGTAAATGAGAAGAAAATTACAACTATATGTGATTACTTTGAATGACAGACGAAAATTTTCGTATTTACTCAGTGAACATATTAAGAAATAATCAGTTTTTGTCGTAACCGAGGCTCATAACGGGTTTTAATCCAGAACATGTTGTACTTATAATATTGTGCAGTCAGCTTCATATAGACTGTTATATGAAAACTGTTATCTAAGGGAAACAAATTCATTCATATACGTTGTTCAATTAACATTATTATTGTAATCGTCCTGGGGTGTGACCGGCTAACTCTCTAGTCATTATTCTAGCCATAGGATATCATATCTTAGCGATTTTATGACGATATATCGTTTCATGTACTATTTAGACAAGTCTTATGTGAAGTAGATGTCAAGTAGTAAAATGAAACGATATATGGATATAACATCATGACATATTGTCGTATCGTATGGCTAGAATCATGACTAGAGAGTTAGGTTAGGTTAGGATACAATATTGGACAATATAATCTAAACTTAATAATTCTTTTATTATGAACTATGTTAAAATGCACGATTATACCTATTATGTGAAAATAAAGAAATGTCATATAAAATTTTCTCAAAGTTGATTGATTCTAAGGAAGGAAAAAAAAATTGAGGCATCATTCCGTTTCTTTCGGTATTTTGTGGAGTGCCATTTTTCACAGTGTTGCTAAATTAATAAAATATATTAAGTTTTCATTCAAATATACTTAATATTCGTGACTGCCAAACTGAAAAAAATATACGACTAAATAATATGAAGTAATGGTAGTAAGATTGATGGGACGGATGAGCTTTTATCGAGTCCGCGCAAATAAATAGGTATCGACGTGAAAAAACCTTCGTAGGCTTCAGCTGAACTTTTTTATGGCAATCGACGACCTTCGTAGCCGAGTTCAAACGCTGGTTTCAAGGTGTTGCCACCTCTGAGGTCCCGTGTTCGATTCCCAGTCGGTTCAGTATATAAAAATTGACTATATTATCTCGAGTTTGAATGTTGTTACCCTTCATTGTCTAAGATAGTCCATAATATGGGGGCTTTAGCTACTCATCTTGGAATCTGAGTACTGTGTGTTTTTGTCTAATATTTATTTATCTCTCTCGTTAGATAAATAAATATTAGGTCATCATCATCAGCCTATTAATATAAAACACTACATTATCATCATCAGCCTATTAATATCTCTACTGCTGGAGCATAGGTCTTCGCTATGGATGGAATCTAATTGAATAGGGAGAATGAGCCATGAGGCACGGCCTGGATCTAGTGCTAGTCGGTGGGTGTTAACTATTGCAGATGCAGTCAACCAACGCCTTACCGCATCTTCCGAACTGCGGAGGAGCTCGAATTATATTAAACTTTTGGTCACCCATCCCAAGACTGGCATTGCGAAAGTTGCTTAACTTCCACACCGCAGATTGAGCGCGCTAATCACTGCACTTGGCGTTTGTTACTGTTTTAATTTTATTTCTGTTTTAATCTTTTTATTTTATGAAACACCCCGTTTGCCAAAATTTTACTACGAGTATAAAATAATTACTTTTCCTTGTCTTCTTAAAGTAACGAATAATACAATGAAAAAGTAAAATTATTTTTTGAATAGTGACTTATTGTTTTGTGCGATACATCAATACTCTAGAATTAGTATTATTAAAACTCCCAGGTTGCCGGGTTAAATTTTAAAGTCGTTGTCTTGTTGAAAACTCTATTTGTATTATTAAGGCGCTTATCACTGAAATTGCTAGCAATTTCTGTAGATACAACTGTTTGCAACTCTCTAGAGAGCCACTACTTGTGCTTTTATGTGATCCACACTGAATTAAAATAAGTGGCAAACAATTTCAGGAAATAATATCTGTCTGCCAGTTGTTTGCAAAAATATGTCTCCGAATGCCGATGATGCATATCAATTATTTAAAAAGAAATGGAGTGAATGCATCCTATGTTTACAATTTTTGTTAATAACTTAGAAGAGTAATAGTTCATTTATATTGGTCGATAGGATTTTATGGGCTCATTTTACAATAAAAAATGAGCTATGTACGTAAACTTACAAAAACTTGCCCGAAAATCTATATATTTTTTTATATATAATAGATGTTTATGATCTTGAGTTGTATGCTAGAAATTATTAAGAATTTTGAGTTTATTATTTCATACTCCTTTGGAGGGGAAAAATAACAGATTACAAGTGAAATATTGTATTTCATAAGGCATAATAAAGTAGACATTCTGCATAATGATATAGCTCATGTAGCTTTACATAAGGCTACGTTTTGTGGCTGACCTTAGCGTTTTCATACAGAGACACGAGTCACGACATGGCCGACTAACGTCCACATTATTTTCACCTAAACTCGATGCGAATGAAGTCAAGGGCATTTTCCTTAAAAGGCTAGTTTCAGCGCAAATTAATAAAGACTTCCCCAAAAATGCTACATTCATATCAAATTTTAGGTATGCACACAATTTTAATTAAGTATTCTATTATGGTCGGTCCGGATGTCCTGAGCATCACTTGCTAGATACTTGGACCCGGACCACACGAGAGAGTAATACGGAGGGTTTTGTCGGGTAGGCCAACTGCACTAGACCGCCGTTGCAGTTAGTAAGCCCCGGTTTAGTCGGCCTTCGTCCAGGTCGATAATGTTAAGTTCAGTTTCCTTCGGTATATAATAAAGTTATCCTATTAAGATACAAAATAATGGTATCTAAATTGGAGTCCCTACATATATTAAAAATACCTACGTCCCTATGGATGTTAATTTCAATAAGTTAAAATTTGTTGAGATGTGTATTAAAAATTGGTCGAACTTCATGGTCTTGAGTTTGAAATAGTACATTATAGTGTATGAAAAATAAAATTTTCTATAGGTATTTAACAAATTTACGTTTTCCCGCGATTTAGCCCGCGTAAATTAAAGCCTATTTTACCCGCATATGATATAGGTAAAAGCCTATTCGATGCAAATAAACAATTAAATGATACCTCTTTAAAATATTGTATATAGATAATAAAAACCATTTACTTGACTACACAGGTATATCACAGCAGTACGCAACACTCGTTATATGGGCGGGCGTTTCGCGAAATTTGTAGAATTCCTGCAAAACGTAGGTGTTCCTGCTAGTTCATTGCACGTCATTGGATTTTCCTTAGGGGCAGAAGCTGCCGGTTTCGCTGGCAAGGCGCTGAATTCAAGAGGAATCAGACTAGGAAGAATAACAGGTTTTTATTTTTTTATTATTTTCGTAATGAGTTTTCATTACCGCAATAAAAACTCTATTATACTGAATATTATTCTCTTTTTAATAATACAAATTTTTGTTATATAACACAAATCCAATGTATTATTGCAATGCAATAGTAGACTAGAATAAGCTTCCATATTAAGCTTTTCTGAAATAGTGAACACTTCATTAAAAACAGAGTTTATGTTATCATTTTCAGATCTCCTTCACAGAATTAGGGATGTTGTGCAATATAACGATATCACTGTCATTAAACTCAATCATATTATACATATAGAATATCTTTGAAATAACCATTAATGTGATGAAAAAATGCTCGAGTTAAAATGAACATATGCAAGAGTTAAATAGCCTTTAGTTTATCTAAAGTCAAGTTCGTTTGTTTATAAGTTTTTATGTTGTGGCAGAAAATGTAGCTTGAGATATCGAGAAAAAGTTTCTATTTTATCCGTCTAGTACATAATTTCTTGCTTTGTGGTTAACAAGTGATAGGTTTGTGGTGTAGTGATCTCGGAACACTCATGTTCAAGATAAAGTCTCTTAATAGCTGACTCATGGTCAGTTTTTAACTTGACCATAGTATACGGTTTAGTAAATTTATAAATGAATCTATATTTACTTGTAGCTAAATTAAATGACGTTTGTTAAAAGCTAAATGTAACTCGGGATCGGTCAATTTCAGTTTTGAAATAATCGTGGAAATCTAAGGAAGAGTTAAAAGGTGAGAAAATATTAAAAATGTTCTAGCAATTATTTTATTTTCCCATACAAACAAACAAACTGTCAAAATGTGATGGCATTGAGACATTATTAGATTAAGGTGCAACTAATAATAAATATTAGTCACAGATTAAAACATTCGTATTATAGTGTATATGAAACAATTAAGGTACAACAAAACATAGACCCGAGGTAATATAGAAAACATAATTTTGAACACCCAATCTCAAACATGAGTTAGAACCCGATACCTCAGAGACGGCTACACTACATCTATAAAACAGCATGCTAGCAATGTAGATCCGTCGAAATAGTAACATTATTTCGAAGACCTCTGTAGCAGAATGATATACCAATTATAGCCTAAATTAATGTTTTTTGTCCACAGGTCTAGATCCTGCCTACCCTGGCTACAGTTTAACCAATAACAACGGCCATTTGTCCCGTGGCGATGCAATATTCGTGGATGTACTTCACACTAATCCTGGGGTCCTAGGTTTCCCACAGGCCATAGGAGACGTTGACTTCTATGCCAATCCTGGCAAATGGATACAACCAGGCTGCTGGGTTGATCAACTCCTCCGGAACAATGAGCTCAGGTTTATTTGTGAGTGATGTCATACTATAAATTGTTCTATTTCTTATTTTCCTAATGGCAATTTATATCTTTGACAGTGCTGAATTTATAGATTTTCGGGTATTTGTTATCATAGATTCAACGACCTGTTTTTCTCGGCGAGATGAAGAAAAATCAACACTACAAAAACTCAACGTTCCACACTTCACGGAGTTTGCGCATATTTATAGGGAGACGAGATGAAAAATAACACTGAGTTCACATTGCAGAAACTGTGGAAGATAATTTACTGTAAATGTTATATCCATTATAACAGTAAGTTACCTATTTAGGTTGTTTTTATAACCTAATACTAACGAACAATTAAAATAAAACAAATCGAAAGGGAAAGCCAATCACTTTAACCAGTGCTAATAAGGCAAGAAAATCAACCAAAATAGTCTCTGCTTTTCTCCCAGTTTTTATTTGTGACGTCATTAAAAGTACCCATATGGACCTAGGAGAAATAAAGTGGTTAAACGTGATTGCAACCCTATGGGCGCATTTTCGGCGGGAAACCGATCGATGCTCTGACGTCACGACGCAGATGCTGAGGGGAAGGGGAGCGGAGGGGCGAAGGACGCTCAACGGGATGATACGACTACGCCAGACCTGGGGGCCTACATTTGAACATTATACATGTTAATCGGACAATGTTTGCTTTGTTTTTTTAGACAAACTTGTATTGCGTTACTCGGAGAAAATGAACTGGTAATTTTTTAAACTTCGAATAACGAAAGTGGACCGAATATCATGTAGTGAACAATATTGGTACTGGTCAAACATCACCACGTTATGGTGGACATCATTTTCGTATACTTTGCCGCAGTAGTAGTAACAATCGTGTGAGGTTTATCCCCAAAACCTACTATTAAAAAATGAAAATTCCCCATATTCTTGAATTGGTTAGAACGTTTGATCTGAGTTTGCAGAGATTACGCAACTTCGATTATTATTGATAACAAAGATCGATTATTGGAGAATGGGAGGTTAAAAAATTATATATTGAGATTCTCCGTGCTTGGGAATATTCATATTCACCACCAATCAACTAATCTTGTTCTTCCTATTTGTTTTCACACATTTGAGCCTGATATGTTTGTGAAGTTCTTCAGCAAAGCTTACATCAAGACGCCTTTGGGTAAACATAATTAAGATAAACGCTCTATTTTCTTGAAGTATTTTTTTTCGTGAAATATTTTTTTCTTCTTTTTCTGTTTATTTAACTAATGTGTAGGTATTAATACTCTTAATGAAAAATACTTAAAAAATCCACTTTGTCGCTGGTACTCTGAGATTATGACCAGGGACCAAATGGTTTTTTTAAGAATATTTTCCAGTATAGCATTGTGAATGCAAAATTGATAAAAAAAATATATAAATATTTATCAAGATTTCCTGAAACCTACAATTTGGTCGACATCGTCTGTCCCCAATTGGATGTTATCTCCTTGATCACGCGTTCCACATTTCGCTAGAAAAATTTACCATTCCAGTAATATTGGCACACGGCCAGAGATTAAACGTTAAGGTCTATGGTTAAGGAATGTCAATAGGATTAGTTATTATAAGTATTATTAACTGAACTATATTGCCGACCGTATCGTTAAATGTTAGTAGGTTGTTGAGAAGTAGGTTGAAATGCTGTTAATTACATTGTTTCTGTATTCGTTTTAATTATATCACCTTTGCCTTTAGGTGTCACACAATTGTATATATGTAAAGTTGAAACACTGATATGGCAATAAATATTTATTTATTATGTTAGGACATTTTGGATATAAAAAGCTTTGTTCCCCTAAAATTATACTTGACGAAAGAATTTCTTTCGATGGGCACACGGTTTTGTAATTTGATACTAGTTACCAATTATGCACGGTCTCTTTGCTCGGGATTATGACGCCTGGAAGGCAATCGAGGCTTGACCTATGTTGATGTGTTAATGCGGAACAGCTCGGAAGGTGATTTTATATTTTTATGGTATCAAATTTCATCTAAAAAGATTTTTCGGTATAAGCATTATTTTGTGCTGCCGTTGAGAACTCTTTGGTTAGTAGGTACCGTAGTTTTTCAGCGAAAATGCTTGTGCTTATTGACGATCTACAATAAGCACAAGCATTTTCGTAAAAATATATTTATATTTCTGTCGGAGTTCCGAATTGTAATAATTTCTATTTCTATTATGTTAATATTTTCTATTAAGTGACTTCATGTATTTATAATATATTGTACTCGTAGTGGCATGCTTTTTGTGAATGTCGTTACTTCCATTAGAGTTGGTGAGTTTCTTGCTTGTTCTTCTTAGGAGCCAAAAGATGTCCTGAATGAGTGGTAGGGAATAAAATGTTGGAAGATTCAAAAGTACTTAACAAGTTTATTTGACTAAATATATTTTGACTTTTAACACCAAATTTTAAACTAGTCTTGTATATAGTTTTTTTAACATCACAATAATGCCCAACGATATTTAGCGATAGAATATAAGTGCTGTTGAAGAAAGTCAATAACTATCTCCTTGAATAGGTCTTTAAATATCTCAAAAGGTAAAGATGTTGCCTCACTACTAAATACGAGGCTTTAATTAGAAATATTATGTATCCCACTGCTAGTGGCTTTTAATTTCAATCTGGCATACTAACTTGATTAGAAAGTTGTAAAAAAAAGAATATTACCCAACCGATTGTTTCTTTATACACTAAACAGGTCCTCAGCTAATATTTATAAGAATAAAGGTGTATTAAGGGGCAATAAACAATAATTTATCTATGCAGACGGTTGCAGTCACAACCGAGCATGGAGGCTGTATGCGGAATCGGTGAGCAACCCCGCTGGTTTTCCTGCAACTCTCTGTAGAAACCCAGTTTTCGACGGATGTACTGTTCAGATAGACGGTTATATGGGATCCGGTGCAAACCATCCGTGAGTAAATAAAATCTGTTACCAAGAGACGAATCTGAATTTGCTTTAAAACAGTTGAAATTCTATTACTTCGTTCTAATAAGTGAAACCTGATTACATGCATTTTCGTGTTAACATTTTGTACAACCAATCCTATGTGTAAATTACAATTACTAAATAATATAAGTACCTATAGTAAGACTTTTATCATATTGTCGTGGTCGATGAAATAGATATGATGCACATTACAATAAGCAAAAACGTAACCAATATTTAAAGAGCCGTAATGGTTACAGACTCAATTTGTCATCAAAATCGTTGTTTGGGAATGTTGAGCTCACATAATGCTAGCTGTTCAAATATTTGCTGTCTCGTCTCTTTATGAGCGCCATCAAAGTACGCTGCGTATGAAATGTCTGTTATCTGTTAATTAAACGTGTTAATTAAAGAGCACGTTAAATAAACTTAGGAATGATTCGGGACTTTTGCATGTTATTTCGCTCCATATTTTGTTTTAAAATTGAAGTATAAAATTACTTACTATAATTTGTTTACAGGATGTCTGGGAAAATGTATTTTAAAACAAATGAAAGACCACCATTTGCAAGAAACAGGGTTTAGCTAATATGAAATTTTGGACTGGAAGGAATACAAATAATACATTAAATTAGTAGCTGATTTGTGCCAATTAAAATGTGATATTTAGAATTAATTAAAATAAATATAAAGTTATACTGTATTTTTTATTATTTCCTTTTTTTTTGTATTTTGTTCACACACAGCAACAGTATCACCTATGTTTCACAAATGCTTACTCACACATATAAAATTCACATAGCAAATAATATTATTCCAAACTTTGTAACCAATTCAATTATAAACGTTTTACTAACTAAATTATACTAAAATAAAGATACCATTACTAAGTTTCCTTTTATCTTATCTAAGTAAATAGTTTCTTAAGTTTATAGCTTTGATATTTTGCATCTAATTAAGTTCCCTAAATGTTGGAAGGGCAGCGTTCATTTGTTAGTGTATTCTTTTCCATGTCCAGTTATCTTTATTTTAAATAACTTATGCGGCTAAATGATGGAAGCAAGTCTTAAGATGATCATAGTCTTTTGGAAGAAACCATTGCGTCATCATGGCCTTTTTACATTCCTCTATTTCTTGATTTAGATACGCCATGTGCCAACATTGTGCCATCTCTACATTCGAGACTATGCAAGGAAGTGCCATTTCCACCAAATATTTCTCGTCGCTATTTAATACTGGAATATCGAATTTCCTGCATATACCTTTGTCATTTAGAAGAACATCGATGGCTAGGTATCTAGGACAGAGAATTTTTTTGGGTAAACAACCTAGCAATTTCTGGTGTTTGAGGAAAAAAATTGTGGCCAAGTTAAAACAAGCATGAAACGATTTGGTGTGGAGTATAACTTGATAATGTTTGAGTAATATTTGACTATACTTTGGAATGCTTTTCGATGGAAACAAACATTAATTCTAGTAAATAATAAGCAACAATCAAAACAAAAATTTAATTCACAAAATACAGGTTGCGTCAAAAAGGGACATTTGGTTCACATAATCAATTTCACTTAATTACGAGCACAAATTCGATGTTATCAAAATAATGAAATTATATGGTTGCATAAGCGCAGTCGTCGAAACGCTCATCGCTTTTTGGAGTGAAGAATTGAAATTGGCAGGCATCCAGTCTACCAGAGGAGCTGCAGAATTTATGATGCCATCTCAATGTCATTTTCTGCTTCTCACAGAGGTCGTTCAATGCAAGATTAAGCAGCGTGGTTTCGGGATCATTCATCTTCGGCAAACCAAAGTTCCTGGCGATTCCACCTCCCCCTAATTCCACAGTATTCGCGATATACCTGATTAGAGTTAAATTCTGTAGTATTTCATGCTTATTTTAACTAACTAAAATTCAAATGGAATAGATTTAGGTTCAATTAATAATTAATAATTTAATGTTAGTCAATACAAAGGTGGATTTGTCATTTGATAAACTATACGTTTAATCTTAAAGATTATCCACATTTACCTGGCTGGAGAAATAACATGGCTTGGGTCAGTTTCAACGAAACCAGTAACTCTGGGTACGTCTTTGCAAAGTAAAGCATGAGCTACTTTCGTAACGAGTCCAGCTACAGCATGAGCTTCACTGAGATCGGCCGCCTTAGCACAAACACCGGAACATCTCGACGTGGCCATTTGAGCAGTGCGTACAGAGTGCGTCATCAGTTCAGCGTTGTGCTACAGAAAACAATATAATATGAAAGGCATTGATGCTAGCCTAGTTTAAAATCTAACAGAGTCGGAGGATTTTGCTACACTTTTGTGGCTTCCTAAGGACTTAATTCAAGTACCTCTGATGATGCCATAAACTTAATTTATTGAATTTGAACCTTGTTTTCGTTATATGTAATGTTCGATTTTGCAAACTTTTAACGATTTTTGTCGAGACAATTAACGATGTCAAATGCAAAAGCCCCTTTCTAATATAATTAAGTATTTTCATTTACCTTTGCGAAGTCGTAGTATTCGACGGCTTTAGAAAACAGGGGTACTAATGCTTCGCCTTCCGTACCACCGACACATGGCACGCGCGTGTACCTCGGTTCGAGGCATAGAGCTCGTGCAGCCAATGTACTCGCGCGCATCTCTGGCACGGCCATAGATCCTAGCACTTTACGTGGATCATACCAACCCGTCTCTTTTAGAGTCTGTAAGATGAATTGTATAATGAAAACGGCAAAGTTGAGAGACGCTAATAATTACACAAGTATTTGTAATTAGGATAAAAATTAAGTATTCTTATATTATATTAGAGCTAAAAATAATTAAAAGTAATTCGATGATTAAATGTAAACATAGGTCTCTAATCAGGCAACATTTTTTACTTTTGCCCACAATATCAAATGATTAATGAAAAGAAATTAATATATGAATGTTTAATTACGGCATGTTGTGGGAATGTACGGTTTTGCATAGATTTTGCATTTTAATTAGAAGTGTAATTGAATGATCTTTGTCATAAGATTAGGCTAGCTAGAATTGTTGTTGATATACCAAGCAATATGATAAGTATTCAAAGTGTCAATTTGAAATGGCAGCAAGTTATTAAGAATGTTATTTTTCTTTGATCAAGATGAAAAACAAAGTTCACAAAACGAGTAAATAAAGTTGTTATGAATATTCCAAAAGGTTGTTATAATATCGGCCGCACCATGAACTGATGAGCTTTACAAAAGTTCTCTGTTAAAAGGTTCCCTTACGTCAACAGGGTAAATTGAAACAAAAACAAAGGTCAATTGGATGACATTTGCACGTATTGTTCTTTTTTATAGAGAAGGTAATTGTAGAGTTGCCAACAATCCTGTTTTCCCAGGATATGTTCTGGTTTTTTATAGTGTCTTGGGATGTTCTGGATAATTTTGAGGCTTCGTCTCGAATTTCAAAAACTGTTTCTTTTCATAGTTAGGGTTGACCTTGAATACCTGTAGTTTATATTAACGATTAAATTGCTATATATTAAAGACTCGTATATATAAATATGATTCATCAAATAAGTTCATGGATAGATTCATTATATATAAAAATATTTTTAAAATAAGTAATATACATGTGAAAACAAAAATCTTTTATTTGATCTCAAATATTGATGATTTTTTTCAAAGACGTTTTTCCCGAGTCTATTTTATTAATGGTGTAGATAGATATGTGTAGCTCATTGTGTAAATTTGGATTTTTTACATTGCTGACCTAATTTTAAATAAACAATTTATTTTTAGAAAAAACTTCACTTTATTTAATAAATATGCCGTTTTTGGGCATGTTTAGTAACATTTGATATAATATTTCCTCCTAGAGGAAACCGTGCTGTACTAGTCCTGTTACAGAGCATTTTTTCTCTCACAAACGACAAGCCAGTCAAGAAATGGAATCATTCTCCGTAACAAATCGCGGAGTTTGCACAAATGGCTCTCGTCTACGATATAACGTAATTTCGGCGGCGGGATTGGGAGTCTCTCCCACGGGACACGTGCAATATTTATTGCTATAACGTTGATAACAAGAACCTCCTTACTAGACCACTATTAAAATCCAAACGTGTAGAGATACTTTTATCTCTACACTTAAAGGTACAATTTTATTGTCAACGCTTATGATTTCAATATACTTTGTAAGCACAACAAAATACATTCTTGTATGCTAATATTTAATGAAAGGCTAGTGCTTATGCAGATAAACAAATGTATACCATTGCTAGAAAGAGTGGGATTATCGTATACTTATTGGGTAAGTCTTAATAATGTTGTCTATGTACCAAATGTGATTTAATAACCAAAAAATATTTTTTATTTATTTATTTTATGCAAGAAAATTCATTTTACTTTTATAAGTTAGAATTTCAAAATAAGTGGATCATATATAAATAGATGTAGCACAGGACCGATCACGTTGGAGATCATTGGGGGAGGCCTATGCCCAGCAGTGGGCGTCTCTCGGTTGATATGATGATTTAAATAGATAGCAACAGTTAGCGATTTCATATGAGAAAAATGAGATCGTTTAAAGGGAAAAAGATAACATGTTTTTGGAAGTCGGATTCTACAATCACGAATTCATGTATCAGATTTGACTAGTAAACGTTATTTAAAATACATTCGTTTGGTCATTGTCCACATAATACATACTGTCAATCACTTTACTTTTGGCTAAACAGATTTATTAGTATAATAATAACCGATCAGAAACCCGTTACCACCTCGCGTTCTGTCGTTAATCAACCATATACAAACTCATAAATGCGGGAACTCTAGATTTAATACTTTCATATAATTTTATTACACTCTCATATGATCAACCTGTTTTATTGGTTGATTTTGTAGATATTTTTTGATAATTAGTATGAACCTTGAAATATAATACAAAAATAATTGTAACAAAAGTGTTGGCTTTATAATTTGTTCTGTCATTTTGTCTCATTACCTTTATTCAGGTTCTTTTAGAGAATATTCAATTTCTGCAATTAAGCTTCTTTTAGCTTTTATACTTGTCAGTTTGTCATTGCTATATTGTTAAAAAATATGTGATTCCTACTTAATATTATTTATATGAATTCTGTTACATTAATAAATTTACTCAATATAACTATTTCTAAATGAGTATTTGTCGATTCCGTGGTCACTACCACAGAATCTACAAAAGATCCAAAAAATTTAAAGTTATTTTGTTAAATGAAATGAGCGTCAGGAATATTTTAACAAATATTTGAAACTTTCGATAAAGATGAAAGTTTGTTTTAATTATTATATTTCATCTATAGCGAAAGTTGATAATATTTATTTCGACTCGAAAGTGGAATGCCTGAACATTGATGAAAATACGCTCTGTAGTAGCGAAAGAAATAAGTGCTTGAAAAATTCGTCAGTCCTGTTAGGTCCTGGGTAGCTTAGTGGTTAGAGCAGTCGCCCGGATTGCGAAAGGTCTTGGGTTCGAATCCCATTTCATAGTACCAGGGACAAAGTGGATTTATAAGCATTTTTAATTAAGAATATATTCCAGTATAGCATTGTGAATGCAAAATTAATAAATATAATAATTAGAATAAATTGTCATTTATATCAAAAGTTTAAATATTTGTAGAAATATTTCTTTCGGCTTTTTGGGTGGATTGCCTGCGTGCATATTGACGAAAATACGCTCTGTAGTAGCGAAAAAGTAACAAGTGCTTGAAAAATTGGTCAGTCCTGTTAGCTCAACGGTTAGAGCAGTCATCCAGATTGCGAACGGTCGTGGGTTCGAATCCCATCTCAGAGCACCAGGGACAAAGTGGATTTTGATGATTTTTCAATAAAAATATTTTCCAGTATAGAAATTGTGAATGAATAATTGATCAAAGTAGCTCGGTGGCGTAGTGGATAAGCGCCGCAACCCGCGATCGTAGTCGTTAAGCAACTTTCGCAAGGGTCGGTCACGGGATGGGTGACCAAAAAATTATTATCTCCGTGCTTCGGAAGGCACGTTAACCCGTTGGTCCCGGCTGCATTTGCAGTCGTTAATACCCTCCAATCCGCATTGGGCCAGCGTGGAGGGTCATGGCCCATCCTCCTTAACCATCCATAAGGAAGGCCTGAGCCCCTGCAGTGGGGACGTAAAAAGGGCTGGTGATGGTATGATGATGGTGATGGTAATTGATCAAATATAACAGTGTACTGATTAAAAAGTATAGGAATATGTATTGAGATTGGTTTTAGTGTATCAAAGTAATTAAATAAGGTGGTATACCTCGGCTACCAGTGGGACCATGCAATCGATAGGCGAGGCACATATTACGAGAAATGCCTTGGGACACTCTGCAGCTATGGCATCCGTATATTTCTTCACAATGGGAGCTTGGTAGCAGAATCGTTTGTCCATCGGCATATCCACGCTAATATAACCGCTCTCAAGCATTAAAACTATGTCACTGTTCTGAAGGAAAAAATATGAATTTAATGGAAGACGTTTTAAAATATAAAATCTGTCTATATATACCTAGTCTTGGAAAAATTCGGCAGAGACGGTCTAAGTGACCGAGGGTCTGAGCCGATTTTGATCAACGCTAATTTTCTTTATTTTTCTAATTTATATATTTAACAAATTTTTTTCGCTGAAATGTATGTTAAGATACAATGATTATATTATTTTAGATATTGCTTCATACTTCCATGAATAAAAAGCAGTTTAATTTTTTGAAGGTTTCAAAATTCGGCATTTAAATTTCCTTAACAGTAGAATAAAATAGGTAATACTCGAATAAAAAAAATGTATGTCAGCAGGCTACCTCAAAATGCTATATTTTCGCAATCAATTTTGAAACTCTACAGTCGATGTATTAAGCTCTTAAAATGATTTCCCAAAGTACACGTATATTTGAAAGATATACATATTTTCAAAGTTTCGTATACATTAAAGGGTCCGTGGACTTTTTTCTTTGGCACCAAAGCCCAGCAAAGGATCCGAAACAACAATCATACTTATTCAACAAATTTGTTACACAAACTTTTGATATACGTTTATTATTCGCAAAATTATGAAGCTTGTACCCAAAAAGAGTAAAATCAGCAAATCATTTTCATTACATTACAGTTTAGATTAGCTTGAAATTCAATTTGTTTTGCAAAATCCAAGATTTATTATGTCAAAGTCACTGTTACGTAAGGAGTATTATGTGGGTGATCATATTGCCACATTCATGTTCATCAATTATTTAAGGTTTTACATATTTTGTGTGTTTACTGCTGAAGGATAAAAGAAGGTGATACAAGTATAAGAATATTGCATTTCTCGGCATAAATATTTAAGTCTCTGTGACGTCTTATTCGATTAATTCCAATCGATATTAATGCACAGGTCATTGGCTTAGCATATTATGCAAGTAATGGTGATGAAAAATTAAACGCTATTGTTCCATAACTGTTTGACAAATAACGGGTGTAAAACCTCGTTGATATATTTTTGTGATTCGAGGGCAATCGATATCGATTGGCAAGCTTCCTGATACAGCTAACCTCAATGAACATTCTGGTGCCAGAATGACTTAAAAAAGCATTCAAAGCAAATTTATTACGAGTATGAAATATCAGTGACAAGTAACATTATTAAACTACTAACGCAATTGATGTTTCAT